CTATCCTATCCTATCCTATCCTATCCTATCCTATCCTATCCTATCCTATCCTATTAATTCTACCCTACCCTACTCTATTCTATACTTTGGGGTCCTTGATGCTCTCTGAGCTTAGTTGTTTTCTTGCAGGCATTTCATTACCCAACTAGGTAACATCTTCAGACCATTGGCGATGTTACCTAGTTGGGTAAAGAAACCTCTGTACCTGTACTGAAAAGTGAAATAAAATGGGACGATAAGACTTAAGGACTCCAAGGGGCCTATCACTGCATTATCCACAGAAGACAGCAATGTTTTGTCACTCTTCTAGCAAACTTTCCTAATGTCCCCTAAACTTAAACTCCTGACTAGAGACAGTAAGGAAGTTGCTGTGAAACTGCTGCTGGCTAATGAACGAGGAGAGACATTGGCTTGTGGTCATTTTCAGAAGCAATACTCACACTGGGCGATGGCCAAAGCCAAGTCTCTCTCGCTCTGCAGCTGCTGATGAAGACGAGGAGGACCAAAAAGGAAATGGGCCATGGCAGCCAGGCCTTTCCTTTGGATGGTTGGCCGAATCTTCTTCTGGAAGAAGGAAAAATTAAAGGTGGAAGCATCGCAGGTGCTGAGAAACCTACTCCTGCAGGGAGGACAGCAACACCACAGCATCCTCCTCAAGTGGCAGGGACACTGAACAAAGAATGGATAAGGGAGATGGGCGGCATAAAGTTTAATAAACAAACATAAATAAGAGCTACTCTTGTCTCTGAACGAGTAGGGCTCCTTTTCAGAGGTGTTACTCTCCGAGATAGACAGACTCTGAAAGTGGTTCATGTTACCCAGTGCACTCTCAGGTTCCGCTTATGGTCACTCACTCACTGGCCTGGAAAATTGCAACACTCAATCCCAAATCAGCTGAACACTGAGGCACAAGCAGTTCTTTAAAATACACAGAGACCCAGTGAATTTGAAATAGCAAACTTTTACTGATATATTTTTGCTCTTACACACACACACACACAAACACATACACATACGCACGCACATACACACTAATCCAGCATCCACTACTAGGCTGCCAGGCACTAGCCAGAGAGACAGAAACTGCCAAGTCTGGGATCCAAAAATGATTCAAAAAGACTGGACTGGCTTCAGGACCTCTGTTTATCCCCCAGAGTTGGTGGGGAAGGGGGCTTGCCACGTGTTCAAGCCTAACTTTTGCCCTTTTGTTCCGTTAACGACTCGGCCCTTTTCCCTGAGGGAACTTTTCCTGGCTTTGTCCACCCTGCTTACATGCCCTCGCCACTTTTCAGTATGGTGGCTTTGGCCTAGTCTCACACTTGCAGCTACTTCTACAAGTTCTGTCAGTTTGGGCCCTGGCTGAGTTAGACTACTCCATCCACACATTATGAAACTACTTCAAGTCATATGAACGTATTCACTGCTACCCTAAGGACCACACAGGAATTGTCTTCGGTCCCTAAAATATTTACGGAGCAGGACTGCTACATCCATCCTAGATGATGCATACCTACCCTACAGTCAGAGAGGTCTGCTGTTTGGAAATACTGCAGTGCCTCATTGAAAGAAATCAAAGGTATCGGGCCAAGAGGTTTCTCCACAATGCCTGCAAGCAAAGAAAGAAAGAGGGTTTGATTTTGATGTCCCTGCTCTTTCCAGAAGAAGAACAAAGCATCTTACAGTGTTGAGGGGAGAAAAGATTAGCCACTAATGCAATGTATTTGCACTAATGCAAATACAACTATTTGAATTTTCCAAATGGGTCTCTCCAAACCGGAACAGCTCATGATACATACAAGTAATCCTTGGTTTATGAACACAATTGGGATCAGAATCTCCATTGCTGAGTGATGCCCAATTTTACGACCTTTTTTGCCACGGTTATTAAGCGAATCACTGCAGTCATTAAGTGAATCGTGTGGTTGTTAAGCAAATCTGGCTTCTCCCTTTGACACTGCATGTCGGAAGTTGGCAGGAAAGGTCACAAATGGGGATCAAACATTGTAAATATACATGCTTGTTACCAAGCGCCTGAATTTTGATCATGTGACTGCAGGGATGCTTCAATGGTTCGAAGTGTGAGGATCCGTTGTAAGTCAATTCTTTCAGTGCCCCTGTAATTTTGAATGGTGGCTAAACAAATGATTGTAAGTTGAGGACTACCTGCATAATGCAATGTACATATGAAGTATTGAGTGGGAAACTTTAATTGTCTCTATGTATATATACACACAAACGCACATCCTTTTTATACCATCATTTTTAAAACATAACTTTGTTTATACATTTTTAATCCTTATTATGTTTATTGTCTTGTTTAGGGATGGTTTTCTTGCTGAGTATCCTTTTTCTACTCCACCCCGCACTCCTTCCCAGACTGAGCAATATCAGAATAAAATAAGTCAGTTAGACAAACTGGTGGCCTTTGTATTATATGTGGCCACCCATAATGGTAGCATTATGGTGGGTAGCACAATTAAAATTCAACTCAGAACAGATCCCAATAGGGAGTAAAATGATACAGTACTTATTTTCCATACCTCCTGGATGGATGCTTGCTATGTTGTCCCATTCTTCACGGACTCGTAGTACCTCCTCCGAAATATCTTGCAAGGGGAAAACAAGATGACATACCAGAACTACACACTTCAGAATCACTTCCAAAGCAGCTCAATTAAGAGGCATGAAAGTTAGTTAGTTTAGTTAGTTTACTTTATTGTCATTGCACCTGTACAACGAAATCAAACACTATCTTCAGTGCACATCATGACCATGAAAATAAATACACACATCCTTCACTCTTCACACATGACATTACACCAACACTGCACTATACAGTAGAATTCAATAGAGCTACTGCCCTGGGATAGAAGCTGTTTTTCAGCCTATTTGTCCTTGTTTTATTATCCTATACCGTCTGCCGAATGGCAATAGTTCAAAAAAAGGGGGTTCCCAGGATAAGATGGATCTTTGAGAATGTTTTGAACTTTCTTAAGGCAGCGGGAGCTATAAAGCTCTTCCAAAGAGGGGAGAGGGCAACCCATGATCTTCTGGGCAATGACGTTAACCCTCTGGAGTGCTTTCCTATCTGCCACTGTGCAATTTGGCAAGCCATACAGAGGTGAAGTAAGTTAAGATACTCTTTATGGTGCAGCGTAGAAGGTCACCAGCAGTTTTTCATTCAGTTGTTGTTTTCTGAGAAGTCTCAGGTAGTATAATCTTTGCTGGGCCCTTCTGACCAGGGCTGCAATGTGAGCACCCATGTCAGGTCCTCTTTTATGGTAACACCCAGAAACTTAAAACTGGCCACTTGTTCCATTCGGTCTCCATTGATAAGCAAGGGCTGGATGTCTGATCTATTCCTTCTATAGTCCACTATAAGCTCCTTGGTCTTATTGGTGTTGAGGACCAAGTTATTGTCTCCACACCACGAAAGCAACCGGTCTAGCTCATCTTGGTAGGCAGACTCATCCCCCCGAGATGAGTCCCACCACTGCTGAAAGATAATTCCCCTTTTTTTTAAAAAAGAAAAAATCTAGGTGTGATTTTACAAAGGAATTACTGAGTCTGTTATGTGCACTTCTATAAACTGTCCAGTTTGGTACAGCAACTAAACAGACAGGTATAGACACCAATGGAAAGTTAAGCATGGAGAATAAACAACTGAAACCAGTCTGCCTTTCATAGAAGACTTGTATGTTGTGTGGGTCAGAAGAAGGGCTGAGAAAATATCTACAGACCCCTCACATCCTGGAGGGGTCTGTAGATAAACTGTTTCAACTCCTTCCCTTGGGATGGTGATATCGGGCCTTGCATGCCATCACTCAGCTGAACATTCAATTTGCTCAGTGCTTCTTAATGTCTATTACCCCATGTAGTGTGGCTGTATTATTATTATTATTGTTGTTGTTGTTGTTGTTGTTGTTGTTGTTGTTGTTATATCATCATCTTCTCTTTTGTACCGGAGACAAATTCCTTGTATGTTTAATCAAATTGGCCAAAATAAAGTATTCAATTCAATTCAGCCCTAGGCACTATACACAGCAGCTCCATTTTATTCTTCTAAATTACCCAACTGTAGAGGGGGATTCTCAAAGAGAAAGCATCTGAAACTGACAGGTAGAAATAATACCAACTATGAAAACCCTAACCTTCCCCTGCAGGGAGATAAATGGTTACTGCTGGGTAAGAGAGAGTAAGAGTAAGGGATTGCAAGAGTGGCTTGACAGTGGCTGCCAGAGAAAGTTGAAAATGAAGATCTCATGACTGCAACATCAGCATAGCAGTAGCAAAGAAGCAGTCACAGCTTCCCCAAATTTCATTCCCTCAGGAGTCATGGGTCCCAGATTTAGGGCACATTTTGCAACTTAGCCCATTTAAGTTACTTTGGTTCAACAGTTGTGGCCATATGATGTACCATTTTGCCTAGCTAAAGGTCGTGACAATGAGAGTTTTAGTAGTTTTATGCCCTAAAACAGTTAGAATCCACCTCTTTATAATTAATGTCATTTTTAAGAACACCATAAAAACCATAACTCTGCCTGTCAGCCAATCTCAATTCAACTTTTACTGACTTTCATGCAGAATTTAAAGGAGCATTTGACTCTAGACACAGTTATAAATGAGAAGCAGATGAAGCTACTTAAATTTCTGGAAGATCTAAAACCGTCATCTCAGTGACTTCAAAGGCGTATGATCCTGCCACAGTTCCTTAGAAGTAGAGTACAAAACAGCTTCAAGCTTGAAAAGATGTTTGAAGCACGATTTACATGCAGAATCACACCAAATTTTTCCAGTACAGTTGGAACAAGTCCTTTTGAAAGTGAACTGTTTTGCAAGTCCCTGCTCTTCAATATTTCACATCATCCAAAATGCAACAGAATACAAAGACAATAATTAAAATTCCTCCTGATATTCATGGGGCTGAATGCCAATAGTGTCCCAACTGAGACCTGGCTCTTTAACCTGGGATTTGTGTTAGGATGGTTGGGGTTCTTGTCGGATATGTTTAGTCATGTGGATGTTGTTAGCAAAACTCACCATCTCTTCTTCTTTATTCCTTCTCTTTTTCTACCCTTTATTAATTTTCTATTTTCTTTGCTTTTATTGTATACCATACAGAATTAGTTTGGAGTTGGGCAGTGCCTAAACTGAATAAATTAGATCAAATTAATTGGGTCTTTACCTGATTCCTTAAAATCACTGGGTGTTGCTGATAGAGACTGCAGCAGTCCATTCTGTTTCAGTGCAGAAATCTGAAAGAGAGAGAGGTGAGGATTCTTAAGGGTGCAAAGCAGGATGGACTACATATTAAATTCCAGTAAGCTGGTTTATTGTTCATGCCTATATACCAGAATCTAGCCAACTAACATTCAGATGAAATTGGTGCGAATAGTAGAATTCACAACCTTGCTTGTGGGAATGCAAGGACTCCTGGCTGATTCCTCTCTTGATTTCATCCCCAGGCTCTGCCTCTCCTTCTCCTCTAAATGTGAAGAACCCAACCTTTCCATAACTTATCTGCAAGACCTTTCCGAGGCCAATATCTCACAAAGTGATTTCATGTCACTGCTTCAGAGCTCGTAACATCCCAACCTTTTCTGTCAATGCACATTTTTAGTAAGAAGTAAAAAGTCACAAAGTAGTCATGTTCCTCAGATTAACCTGTTTAATTTTTACTATAATCACCCAACATGCTTAATACAAGGTAAAACAAATACAGTTTACTCAATTAACCTGATTTTCTGGCTTCACCCACCAAACTAAACAAGTGTTTCTCAATCTTGGCAGTTTTAAGATGGGTGGACTTCAACTCCCAGAATTCCTCAGCCATCATGGAATCAAACATGGGGCCTCAAAATTTCAGCAGCGGGGTTGCATATGGGGAATCCTAAACTATGTGTAAAGATGCATACTGTCATATTAAAAGGCCATTTATAATGAACAAAAATACAAACCTGATGAAATGATGTTTCTGTCAGAGAGAATTAAAAATTAGATATATGGGTGAAGAAATAGGAGCTGTTTGGCTCAAGTCCCTAACAGCTAATATCTGTACTCTGGAGAAAGGAAATGGAACAATTTCCTCTTTTAAAGAAACATGTAGACAGAAAAAAGCTGTATTTCCTTTCTTTCCACAATGTTACATTGAACAAAAGACTCAGTTTCAGATTTGGTAACCATATGATGTACCATAATCTGAGTTTTTATTTTAGTGTTTTAGAGGTTGGCATGAGTGAAAATAGGGTTATGGGATGCCCCTCAACTCTAACTCTTACTGTCATTTGAGCAAGAGAAACTGTGTCATATTTGCACAATAGTTGGATTTAATAAAAGACTGCATACGTGTCTGTGAACTGTGGTTAAATCCTGAGAAACATGAATGCACGTTGGTTCTTATAATGGAGTGTAAAGCCTAGTAGGAAGTTAGCACCCACCCCTCTCCTAGAAAAATGAAATATCCTGGGAAATATTAAAAAGGCAGAATATTTCCCCTAAAAAGAGTAGAAACTCAGAAGCAGAAACTCACCTCAGAGGTAGAAGCTCACCCACACCTTTGTTAATGGGTGGGCCATTAAGGCCTGGGCCAGAGTAGTTTACATAACAAAGATCTCCAGGTAAAGCTATAGCAATTGCCCAAAGCCCTTTTCATTACATCATCATCCAGCAAGGCTCAACCAAGCTTGGGACTCAGGGCAGCCTACAGAGTTGCCCCTACATGGCCCCATGGGAGTCTGACAACCAATCAGAACACAAGCTCAAATTCAAATCTCAACAGAGGGTATAAAACCAGGCACTTTCAGCCCTCCTCCTTTTTCTTGATTTTTCTCTTTTCCCCTTGGAGCATGTGATCATCCATTTCCCCTTGGAGCTCCAAGCCATGTGGTCCTGTCCACCACTGAACCATCTTTCCAAACAGCCTTCATGTTTCCAGTGTCTTTTTCCCCACTCGGAACTGAACCCAGAAGGATATTTCTTCCAACAGCCTGTTCAGACCCTGCTTGTGGGACCATTTCCCAATAATGTTTCCTAAATTTACGTCCTCTACCCACAGCCAGCTATACCCCCAATGATCGTAGCCACCAGCAGTAGTGTATGAAGAAAGACCTTAATGACCAGTATACTCACATGCACAACTTTGTAAACTGGATAGGTAATTGCTTGCGTTTCATGCTGGCAGTTGTTTATGCTGCACTGGTTCATCCCCTAATGGAAACAATGAAATCAGAGTCACCAGGGAAAGCAGGAACATTTCTCAAATCCCAAAGGTACTTTTCCTTCCGCCAAGGAACAAGAAATTCAGCTCCACTGTGCACAGAACTACCTGCATCAATTGCAACTGAGCAACCCATTTTTTCCCCATAATCATGGAAGGTATGATTCCAGAATTACTGCTGTGTAAAACTGCCTATGTGTTCCATGTCTCCTTCCAATTATTACAGAATATTCCATTTTCCCTACAACAAGAACTCACACCAACCTTTCAGGTAGCCTGTCCTTTACACAATGGTATGGGACAAAAACAGCAGGACCCCAATTGCATCCTCATTCAGGTGACTCTGAGGGCACAGATAAACCCCCAAGTGGCCTCAAAAAGCTCTCAGAGTGCTAATGACCAGATGACTGCAAAGAAATGCAATCCTTCTATCCATCCCCACCACGATCCTATCAGAACCTATCCTTCCATCTCCCAGAACTGATGAAGCTTCTTGGATGAGAAGCAAAATGTTTTCTTCTTCCTCAAGGAAAATACAGTCCAGTTGCCTTTTGAAGAAAAAAAGCACCTTTGAGACGACCACGACGAACTGGATGACTGAGAATCTCCACAGACAGCAGGACCTGAAGTTCTAATTTGGAAATGCATTATCTCATTTGAAGGTTCTTTGGGGATTTTTTTTTTTAATTTTTCTTTTTGGTAAAAGTCGGGCAGCTGCAGCTTTGCACGCCCACCGACAGAACTTCCAGTTGCTCTGGTTGGAAGGTCCTAAGAGGGAACTCCATAGGTGGCTTGGGGAACCCATCCAGGTTGCCAGAATGTCCCATTGAGTTGTGATGCATCTAAATTACAGCCTGGAGGCAAACGCATGTTTGCTGTTACATTACAAAAGGCCAGAAGGGATTACTAGGGGAAGCAAAGGTGCCCGGGATGAATGAATGCTGGTAGCTCATCCTGGTCAGTGGTGGGAGCAGCTTTCCAGGTGAAGAAAAGGCCACCTGAGATTTGAACCCTCCCTGCAACCCACTTCCTTCTCTAGGTCCACAATAATTTTTTTTTTGAAAAAGACTCACCTTTTATAGGTCCTTCTACAAAGCCATCTCATCACGACAGAATCCGCCACCACCCCAATAAAAAACACCATTCCCACGACCTCCTGTCCCAGAGCGGCTTCCTTTGTACCCTCTCTCAACAACCCCCAACTCACTAGTCCTTCCGCCTAAATTTTCTCGCTACATCTGCCAGCTGCCCAGGCTCTCTTCCTCCCCGTGCACGCATCTGCAGACACGTGTCAACAGGTTCCCACATTCCCAGACCCGTTGTTCTTCCCACGGTTCTCCCCAGAGTCCCCTATTGCCTTTCTCCCCCTCGTCACGCACCCACGGAGGTGTCATTCCTGAACAGCTGGACCGAACCCGGGTTTTAAGTCCGCCGTTTTTCCTCCAATCTGGGTTCTGTTGCTAACATTCCCTCCCCCGCTCGTAACGCCCACAGGAGCAAAAAGCGTAGGCGCGCCGCTTTGCATTCTGGGAAGCGTAGTCCGAGTTTAGCTCGGGACAGGAAAGCTCGCTCCGTTCGCCCTGCTTGATGGCAAAGGCAGCGCTGGGAAGGAAAAGAGGAAGGGGCTGAGGCGTGGGGAGCATGCATGAGGTTTAAGTGGGTTTGCACCGAAGTGATTCCCATTGCTTGCGTCCAAACCTCGCCTTAATAAGCCGCAGGAGAGTTTTAGTTTCGGGGTTCCGCTACGTTGCGCTGAAAAGGGAATCTCTAATGTCTATGGAGTTTTTCAGTCACCCAGATCGTGGTTGTCCCAAAAGTGCTTTTCCAAAAGGCAACAGGACTTTCTTGGGTTTTTCTTTGAAAACGTTTCGCTTTCATCCAAGAAACTTCTTCAGCTGAACAGGAGAGGGAAGGGAAGGGACTTTGGGAATCGCTGGTGATTTTGATCCTTTGGATCCGTCTGCAGCCAGGTATCTTCCAATTCATCTGGAAGATTTTCTGCGTGTTCAAAAAAGGCACTTGCTAGAGATCAGGAAGTCTTCCGCCAGGAGGATTTTTTTTTTTGTCAATTGCTTACAAGATAATAGGTATAAGTATATACATAGTTATGAATACATGAAATGGGTACATATAAGAAAAATAAAAGAAACAATAGGACAGGGACGGTAGGCATGTTGGTGCGCTTATGCACGCCCCCTACAGACCTCTTAGGAAAGGAGTGAGGTCAATAGTAGACAGTCTAAGGTTAAAGTTTTTGGGGTTTGGGGAAGAACCCACAGAGTCAGGTAGAATATTCCAGACATTGACCATTCTGTTGCTGAAATCGTATTTCCTGCAATCAAGTTTGGTGCGATTAACCTTGAGTTTGTATCTATTGTTTGCTCTTGTATTTTTATGGTTGAAACTGAAGTATTCATTGACAGGTAGGACATTGCAATGTATGATTTTATATACTATACTTAGATAGGACCGAAGGCAGCGTAGTTCTAGGTTTTCTAGGTCTAGAATTTGGTGGCATAAGGTATTCTGCAATGAGTAGAGGAGTGGAGAATTCTTCTTGTGAAATATTTCTGGACTCTCTCAACTGTGTTAATATGGACTTCCGGTTTGCAGCGCTTTGGTGGCAGGCAGGAATCCGCGATCATGCACGATTTTTGCCTGGGCTTGCCGCTGGAGTGCCCCGAGCCAGTTGGCTTTGAGGCTAAAGTCACCCCGTAGAGGTGACTGAAGACAGGGGAGACCCAGCAGGGTTCGAGGGGAGTCGCACCTCCCCTCCCAGCTGGCTTAACTCCCTTTTCCGAAGGCAGTAGAGCGGTGGCCAGAAATGGCCGCCTCAAAGAAGCACTCATCTGGAAAAGAAAGTGCAGGAGGAAGCTAAGGAGTGAAAGTTTTGGCTGACCAGGATAAGAAGCAATAACCAAGGTATCCGGGAATTTAAATTTTAAAAAAGATACATCGTTCCCTAAGAAGATCTGGAAGCAGCGAATGAAAGTGAAAAGGGAAAGTTTGTTTCTTCTTACTCTCCTTCCTTACGGTGACAGCACATGAATGAGAAATTAGAAAAACCTGCTTTGGCATCTGCAAGTAACTAAACTGGAAAATCAAAGCCAAGGGGACAATAAAGATTTCTGAGCACTGAAAAAACTTTTTTTGCTGTAAGTGGGAAGGGAGAGGAAAAGAATAAGAATAAGATTTGGCTGGAGGAGGTGCTTAGAATTTAAAAGAATCTAAACTTAAATTGAAAGATACATTTTAATTGGAACTTTGTAATTGAATTGTAACCCCAGGAAGAGAAAGTGAAAAAAGAAGAAAGTGTTAAATGAAACAGCTTGTGTGTATTTGGACTGTTTGGTGACTTTGGGACTTTTGGAAATTATATTTGAATAATTAAAAATACTTGGGTGGTTGTTTAAAAAATTTTCTACAATGGCATCACTTGTGGAAGAACTGAAAATGGAATTCAAAACATATAAAGAAGAGGAACAAGAAGAGAAGGGCTCTTTTGGCTCTGTTTTTCATTTTTTAGAAATGGCAACCTCTACCTATGAGAAACTACAAGAACAAGAAGATGGGGACAAAGAAGAAGCCATCTTTAATGAACAAGTAACTTTATCTGGGGAAGAAAGGGGAAAAGGGGGAAAGAGAATGGAGAATTTAAGACCTAAAAAAACAGCCAAAAAAGGGAAAAATAAAGTGAAAAGTGGATATAATGTCAGAAAGCAACAGAAAAGAGGAATACAGAAGAGGGAAATGGAGATAGAGAGATAAGGGGGTTAAAAGGGCAGAGTGAAGAAGCAAGGGAGGAAGGAAGGGAAGAGAAGCTACAAAGGTTTGAAACAAGATGTAAAGAAACAGGATTTATTTAGAGATAATGGGCAAAAATATAACTGAAAAAGAGATTCTGCAAAGGTACATAAGACTGTATTGTTGTATTTGTATTAGAAATAATGTTAGAAAATTGGGACAACATATGATTATAAAATGGGATAAAATATTCAATGTAATTCAGTGAAACCTTTTTTTTTTTTTTTGAACAAAATAAATGAAATGAAATATGAGAGAATTGAATTAAGAAGGAATGGGAACATTTTAATTACATAATGTTTTAAAATATAACTGAAATGGGGAGGAAGTAACTATGTAAAATTTATAAATGTTCCCATAAAAGCATGATACCTATTTGAAAAGGAATGTGTAAAATGTTTAAGATTTAAATGAATATTAATTTTAACGATAGAGTTCAATTGGTATGGATTGTTCTTTTAATTATATTATACATTTATAATTTTTTCTTTTCTTAAAATATAGTGTGTAGCTTTAGAATGTACTAAGCAGAATCCGAATGAAAGTTATGTATTATATTAAGTGTTAAATTTAGGGGAAAGATATATAGGCATCATACTTCAGTCAGTGATTACAGGAGAAATTTTGTGTTAACTGAGAAAAGATAATAGCTGAAACAGGACAGACAAAGGATATAAATATAATGATTTAAATTGAGATGAAATAAATAAAATAGAATTAAGAGAGTGAAAAGAGGGGAGAAGCTATATAGAAAATGTAGAATGGTAATAAGATAGGGAATGGTACATAAAAGTGAGCACGATCTTGAATTTAGGTCTGTACGAAGAGATGTAACCCGGGATCAAGCTGCTTTCAAAAAAGATGTTTTATGTTTTCATGTTTTGTGCCTTGTTTATATACGTTTGTTTTTAAAAAATTAATAATTTTTTTGGAAAAAAAAACTGTTAATATCAGATACGTAATGTGGGTTCCAGACTGATGAGCTGTATTCGAGTATTGGTCTAGCTAGCAAATGTTTTGTATGCTCTATACAAAACATTTTATATGTTTTGCTTCATTCTGATGTTTCTCTGATTAGCTCTCCCCCTGGTAGCTTTATGTCACATCTGAGGCTAATCCATCAACCTCTGTCAGAAATAAGGCAAGGCTTGGTTTTAAATCCATATTTGGGGGAGGGGGCTCTCAAATAATTAATTTGCTAATTCTAACAGACTAATTCACAGACTTTAGTTAAACTATTCCTGAGGGATAGCAATTCAGTTTTAAACAGAAACCTCAACTTAGAAACAATTTAAATGATTTTCTCCTATTGGGAACAAAACTGTTGGGCTGCAGTCTTCTATATTCTCACTTTATGAAATAAATAAATAGAAATAAACAAAGCAAGCCTGCTTCCATAAAAGCAAGAGTTCATAAGAAAATATCCCTGGTGGATTTTTCCCAATTTCTGATGAAGGAAGGAGAAAAGGAAGAGCAGAGAGTAGTAGACACTAACAGGAAATCACTCTGATATAGATGAGAGCGCACTGATGCTGTTACCTAGTTGGATAATGAAACATCTGCAAGAAAACAAACTTCAGGGAGCACAAAGGACCCCACAGAGAAGAGACAAAGATGCATCTTAATCACTATTTATTTTAAACACTATTTAAAACAATGGTGTTTAAAATAAATACAGTGATTAAGATGCATCTTTAAAACAATGGCTTAACACTTATTTTTTAGATATTTATTTCCTTAACTGCAGTGGACTTTCTAAATTGAAACACTGGTTTCAATATATTTCAGTATTACTGAATAAGCGAAACACATATTCAAACTGCTTTTGTGACGCATTTCATATATGAACTGCATGTCTAAGAAAGACCAATGTTTGTAATGTTATCTAATCAAGCAGGATATTAATTTCTGCTCACAGCGCCACACCCTGAATGCTGAATCATAAGAGTTCAGAAAGGGCACACGTAAACCTATATCTGTGCACATATCCAATCGTTTAAACAGTCTACCATCAGGATATTCCTCAGCATGACTTGCCCCAAAAGGAACAGAGCTCTGATCATTGTCAATTATCAGTTCCTTTGGGCCAAAGAAGGATTTAGACCAAGACTGGGGGCCAGAAGGGAAGCAGACAACCTTTTTAAAGCACTTTCCAAGTGCAATTATGACGTGAGGTTGTTTCTGGATTTGACAGCCAAAGAAATAGAAGAAGTGTATAAGGAAGGTATGTTTGGGTTGGAGGCAACTGAGATGCTCAAAAAGGGATGCCTGAAAGTCTTCCGTGGAAGTGTTGGAAAGCTTGGAGGAATCTCCAAAATTTTGTTCTACTGTTCATCAGAAAGGTCTGAGCTGCTGGGAAGAGAAGGGTCGGGAGGACTTAGACTAAATGGACAATGGGATTATATAGTTAGGTTGTACATAATCCCACTGATCATATGATATAAAAATGTATATTTGTGTCATCTTTACTGGGTCTTTGCTGGTGAATGATGATGATGAAATGACAATGATGATGATTGAGAGGTGAGTTTATAGGAAATGGGCTGAGGTATGGAAGGAAGAAGTACCTGGTTGTATTTTAAGAGATAAGTTGTTAATGTTGAATATTGTTAATAGGGATGAAGGGGAAAGTTTCTTTTTCTTATTATTTTTGAAGAGAGATTTCCCCCCCACTTTTTCATATGCATGTACTGGATGTAATGTGTTTTTGTGTTACCTTTATCTGTTTAAATGTCTATAGGGATTCTCAGTGATTTAAGGTCGTGGTTGTTCCAAAGGTGCTTTTTCAAGAGGCAACCAAAGTTTCTTTGTTTTTCCTTGAAGATGTTTCGCTTCTCATCGAAGAAGTCTCAGTCAGAACTGAAGAAGCTTCTTGGATGAGAAGTAAAACATCTTCAAGGAAAAACAAAGAAAGTCCAGTTGCCTCTTGAAAAAGCATCTGTTGGACTTGACCTGTTTAATATAATCCTTAACAACATTATAAGAAAAAAAAGAGAGATAAATGTCTGGTGTGCAGGGGCACTCAGGAAGTTGGAGGATTGGATTTTACAGTTTGCCCACTCTCTGGATTGTTTTGATCCACTTTATAGATGCCCCTGACTCTAGAGAGCAAGCCTGAGATCTGGATGGGCATCTGGAGGCTGTAACATTCAGTCAAACATTAAAAGAGTATTCTTATCAGTGAGAGAAGATATTGTGCCTTGGAAGATACCCATTGTTGCTGAGCAGCCATGGGTTAGGGATACTAATTAGTTGAAATGTCACTACAGATCCCTGAAGGTTCCTTTCCATCACTAAAATGATGATGCAGAGCATGGAATAATAGGGTGGGAGAGACCTTGGAGGTCTTCTAGTCCAGGGGTCTCCCACCTTGGCCATTTTAAGACTTGTGGACTTCAACTCCCAGCTTTGCTGTCTGAGGAATTCTGGGAGTTGAAGTCCACAAGTCTAAAAGTGGCCAAGGTGGGAGACCCCTGTTCTAGTCTACCCCTCTGTTCAAACATGTTTGTGCTGGAGAGTGTATCATCTTGGGTACCTATGAGCAATTGTTAGACAATGAAAAGGTGTAGATTATTCAAACAGTCCCTGTTTCCATTTCTCATCTGATCTCTTATTTAAAAAGTCTCTGGGTTTAAAAAAAAACCACCACAAAGAAAGTATTTCCTCTCTCTCATGCTTCCTGTCAAGATGTCACAGGCACAGATACACAATATTTGATAAGAAATCTAGCTTTCACTTCAAAGATAGGTCTGTTCTACATCCCAGAACAATTATATTCTGGACACCTTTATACATTTTAATGGGAATTTCTGGTCCTTGTTTACTCAATATTATTTGAGCACTTTGCATATGTTCTGGAGCACATCCTCCAACAAGTGCTCCTGTTGAATTCAGTTGGCCAACTGTGATGCCCTGCTGCTTTAGAGGTACATATGGATGGATGTGGTAATGCAAGGCTGATTTATGGGAATTAGGCTGATAGATTGGAGCAGCATTTCTCAGCCTCAGGAACTTTAAGATGGGTGGACTTCAACCCTCAGAATTCCCTACTGAGCAGGCAGCTGGGGAATTCTGGAAGCTGAAGTCCACCTATTTTAAAAGTTGCCGAGTTGAGAAATGCTGAACTGGAGAGATGACCTTCAAAGGAGAACTCAACAGTCTTCTTGAAACATCATCAGGAGAGCTTGCCTAGCTTCTAAACTTAAAACAAATTACACTGCAGAAGTATGGTTGCAGTGGTTCTGTGGCTGGGATTCTGTGGTATTCAAATCAGCAAAGAGCACAGGAGATCAGATGAAACAGATTCAGGATCTATTCTTGAAAACCCAGGACTTGATTGGACTCCACACTGGAACTGATAACTAAACTTCCCATTTACTTACTAATATTACACAATATACTGAAGCATAAATCTAGTATGGCTTAAGTTTACAAAGGCACAATTCTATTCAAGTTTAAAACCAGGTTTAGAATGTCACAGGTATGAGGCAATTACATTGTCATGTGAATATAGCCACAGAAGGGTTGCACTGAAGTATCTACAGCAGAACTACTAGATTCTGTAACAGCCTTGCCCTTATGTCATTCGTCTTGTAAACTCGCAGGATTATTTTTTTTTGCCACCTATGTTATACGTTTGAATTAGACTGTGATGTTTCTGTGTTATATATGTGTGTGTATGTGTGTATGTGGTGGTACATGTGCATAATGATTATCTTCTGAGAGTTGAATGCAACCAAAATTCATTTTAATATATGCTGATTAGATACATTTAAAGTGACAATAAAGTTCTATTCTTCAGATCAGGGGTGTAAAACTGGCGGCCCGCGGGCCAGATGTGTCATGCGCAAGCCACGTCCATCCCAGCTCTGCAAAGGCAAAAAATGTGGCGGTATGTCACATGATGCAATCGAGTTTGACACCCATGCTTTAGATGATCCTCCAGTTAATGACGATCATAATGAGCAATCTCCCTTATGGTCGCATGTTGAGGACTACCCATCACTGACTCATATTTATGACGGTTGCAGTGTCCCAGGATCATGTGATTCCCTTTTGCGACCTTCTGACAAGGAAAGTCAGCGGGGAAGCCTGATTCACTTAACAACCAAGTTACCAATTTAACAACTGCAAGGATTCACTTAACAAATATGGCAAGAGAAGTCATAAAATAGGTCAAAACCCACTTAAAAAATTTCTCACTTAGCAACATAAATTTTGGGCTCAGTTGTGATCATAAGATGAGGACTCCATGTATTCCTATTGTGTAGAGGGTTTCAGCAGGCCAGCATATTTACAACAGCAATTTATCGACTCAAACTGGGACTGAGGAACAGTAGGCAAAAGCCTGTAATTTTATACTCTGGGCCCACAGGGCCTTAACCAATCATAAAACTTGAAAACTCTGCCCAAATATAAATGTTCTAAGTTTTCCTCCAAAACAGTTGGAGTTAACAGTTAAGGTCATCTAAAACAGCAGTCGCCAACAAGAAAATTTTGGTGGGCCACAGAGAAATGTCACCCCCAGAGCACCCCCAAAGCAATTAATCCAGGCTGTGCAGGAATACAAGGCTGTACCGCCCACATGGCTCACAGGAACCCTCCCTGCCCACTCACTCCTTACCCGGCAAACTTGCCTACTAAATTGCTATTTTCCTTTTTTCCCCCCAACCATCAGCTGTTCTGCTGTGCCAGGAGATTTGAATTAGCTAGGAAGCATGAAATGGTTGGATTTTTTGCTTTCTAGCTAGTCTTTAGATTTTCAGCTCTGCTTTTAAGCACAACCGAACCTCCCTTAGGACTGAAGGTTCTATTATTCAGTGCAGACTCAGGGCAAGCAAATTTTATGTGACAGACTCAGGTAGCCAATGGCAGATGGATAGATCAATGAATGATTCTGTGAGCAACTCAATCTGCCTGCCTGCTTTGCCTGATTTGGGGTTAAAGTTGCTCTTTTTTTAAATAAAAAAAATTCAATATTTACATACATGGTGTGTTATGAGTTAATTTTGTGAGTTTGCTTGCAAGCAAATTTTATATGACAGACTGAGATAGCCAATGGCAGATAGATAGATTACTGAATGAATCTGTGATTCTGTGAGCAACTCAATCTGCCTGCCTGCTTTGCCTGATTTTGGGTAAAAGTTCCTCTTTTTTAATAAAAAAATTCAATATTTATATAAATATTTATATTTGCATAAAAGCCATGCCCAGCCAGTCACATGACCACCAAGTCACACCCACAAATTAGGCCACGCCCACAGAACCAGTTAGGGGGCCCTGGAATTTAAAATTATGAGTTTGGTGGTCCCTGAGGTCCAAAAGGTTGGCAACCCCTGATCTAAAAGTTAGTTTCACTTTAGCAAAGCTTAACACCCTTATATGCTCAATACATAACAATTCCCACTTATAGGAACTCAGGGAAACCTATATAGCCATGATGTCAAACCTATGTCAAGTGTGCCACAGGTGGCACACGGAGCTATTTGTGCGGGCACGTGAGTCCCAGCCAAACTTACCTGCACTGTGCATGTGCATGCCTCCCAACTGATTTTTGGCCCATTTGAAGCCTTTTTCGGCCTCCCTGAGGCTCGAGGGAAGCCTCTGTAGCCTTTGGAGGCTGAAAAACGGGCCGAAAATCAGCCGGGAGGCACGCGCATGTGCAGTGCAGATAAAGGGATATGGGGGGTTGCACACGCATGTGCAGGGGGGCACATTGCCTTATGGGTGCTGGCACATGAGCGTGCGCATGCATGCAATTTTCAGCAGGGGAGCCCAAAAAGGTTAGCCACCACTGCTATATAGCCTTCCGTCCTCCAGTTTTACCACAATAGTTATGTGTCATAGGTTAGGATGAGAATGATTGGCCTCAAATTCCCCAGGGACTTTCTATGGCTGAGAGTAAACCTGAACCTTAGATAATGGCCCCAAATGTACTTTTGGTGCTCACTAGGAGTGTGCTTCAAGATGGCTTAGCTGGTTTTTTTGTATTGATTTGAGAGTCAAGGTCTGTGTTTGAGTCACGAGAGGCTTCCCCCCAAAAATCACCTTACTATCATCACTCCTTTCCTTAAACTGTGTCTTTGCAGAAAGCCGGGCAGAACATGGGAAATATTTTGTGAGCATCCTCTCAAGCCATGGAGAAGACGGCTGCATAATGGATTGCCAAGGACAAGCATTAAAGCTAACGCGCATTTATAAGATCTTATCTTCTGAAAGGTGTCCGCATTTGGCAGGAAAGCCTAAAATCTTCTTCATACAGGTAGGAGCTGTGGGGTTCTGGGTCCAAACAGCAGCAGGGAAGTATGAGAAATCCAATCAGTCTTTTTTATCCTATAGGACCGGGGTCTCCAATCTTGGCAAAACACAGCCTTGCAATAATTTCAAGACCACTGTTAAATCTTACAATATAGTCTTTCTTTGCACACGTCTCTTGTTTGCATGTATTTGAGATTAACAGGGAAATAATCTCAATGAAATTAATAGATACTAGAAAACTTTGACTTCATAACCCTAGGCTGTTATTTTTAGAGTCCAAAGGTAGAATTTCCAAATTATGCAACCTTTTCTACATGTACATGAGTTCTGGGTTTGCGAACAGGGTTTGCCCTCCGCAATATGTACAATAGCAGTAGAAACCCTCTTAAAAAAACAAATGACTCATTCAGGAAATGTTTTTGATGCCATGTCTAGCATACGTGCATGACTCTGATGTTAAAAAATAAAGCAAAGGTATTTCTAATTCTCCTGCAGCATCACAAAAACTAATGTTCTACATTAGCTTTATTCAGGGGTGGGATTCAAATTTTTAACAGCTGGTTCTGTGGGCGTGGCTTAGGTGGTAGGTGTGGCTTGGTGGTCATATGACTGAGTGGACATGGCTTGGTGGTCATGTTATTGGCTGGGTGTGACCAACTCAATGTCACTCACATCGAGGCATGCATCTCCTCACCTGGCCTCTTGTGACTGTGGGGATGCTGCAACAGCCCTAAGTGTGAAAAATGGTCATAGGTCACTTTTTTCAGTGCCATTGTAACTTGGAATGGTCACTCCACACAAGCAAAGTACCAGCAAAGGAAGGGAAAAAAACTCCAGAGACATTCCTGAGACAGGAAGTCTAGTACTGCCAAGAATGTAATAAGGGTTAACGGAGAGGCAGTTTCTGTAAGCAACACCAGAATGTTTCCTTCCTGCCTTCCTTACAGGATTAGGCCAGTAATTTCTTCTAACAACCGGTTCTCTGAACTGCTTAGAATGTTAACAACTGGTTCTAGCGAATAGGTGCGAACCTGTAGAATCCCACCCCTGGCTTTATTGCATTTCCTGGATACTTTTACAGCAGATGCGAAGTTCAGACTGATTATAGTGATATTTCTTCCAAAGGCAAATACGAGCTGTGCGAATCTATGCAAGAGAAGAAAGGGTGAAATCCATTTTTGTTGCCTGGGCAAGCCCCTAATTCCCCAATCCACTGCTAATGCTATTTAGTTAATGCTATTTCATTCATTCATTTTTTAAACAGCATGCAAGTTTAATGCAAATCGTTAACCTCATTCCTTCAGTTTAGCCCATTCAGATGAAAATGTCAAAGGAGTCACCTCACTCATGGTCTAGAATAGAATAAATCACAAGAAAATCTGAAGTTGACTCCCCAGGGTGTGGATCCAGCAAACAAAGGGCTGTACACAAAGGCTATTTAACAGCTGTTGCCTTCCATATGTTTTTCAGGCGTGCCGTGGAAACAGATTTGATGATGGCATCTACCTAGAAACAGATAGTGCACCTGAGGAAGACTGTTTCTCACATTACCTATCTATTCCTGAAAATACTGCTGTTATGTTTTCTTGCAGCCCAGGTATGTCAGTCTAATCACCTAAACCTAGTCTAGGTCAGGTTTGCAGCAAAGGTCATCAGATACAAAATAAATACACAGGATTGGGTAGAATTACCCATTTGGGAGTTTGAAGAATTTTTAAAAAAACCCAGCCAAAGAACAGCTGGTTTGTTTGAGAGTCTTAATAAGGGCACTCAGCCAAGAGAAACATAATTACAGATGGATGTCAGTCCATCACAATTTATAATCTACGGTAACCATGGGGTCTTATCATTCAATGCTACAATCAGGGAGGAAGAAATCAGCAAAAATGCATGCAATTGTTTGAACAGATACCTATGAAGAAACAGCAACAATCTTTCTGGACAGTGAAAATCTGGAATTTCAGAAACAACTCGTTCCTTTCCAGATTTTTCTCATCATTCCCTGTGTAGGGCTGATCTTGTTGTCATGATTAAAGGACAAAGGAAGAATAAACTAGGATGATATGCTAAGAACACTTAGCAGTTGTTCTTTACAGAGAACAGCTGCATCTTTGGAAGCTGCTAATCTGTTCTTGGATTTTCAGGTTTCTGGAGAATCATTGCAATCCTTCCATTGCAAATAGAACAACACGTATGAGTTAGAACAGTTTTATGGTTTCATCCAGCCATCGTTAAAGGGATGTCCGTGCCATTATTGCTTTGGCTTAACAATGATTTGATGGCTTTTTCAGTCATGAGCAAAATGTACATGATATAAATGCAACAGGACTCTAATTCTGGCCACAGAAAGTCCCTATTTTCACAGCAATTAGTTTCCAATGTAATGTGCACTTTGTCCTTTCCTGGCTCTTGCGATATGGCATATACTGGCAAGAGATGTGTCTCCAGATTTTACTAGCCTTCTCTAACATGTTTGCTTAGAATAGAAAAGTCCTGTTTGACTTTTGGCATCTCCTTATCTCTCTTTTTCTTTCTCTCTCAATTGCTCAGGCTGTGTTTCGTTCAGCAATCAGTGGGAATCCATGTTTCTCAAAGCATTACTGGAAGCGCTAAAAGGAGAGGAAAGAAAACTGAAAGTCACCAAACTCATGACTTGGATTAACTGGAAGGTTGCTTTCTTTTGTGAAGCAAAAGGAACTGGCTATAAGGGCAAAAAGGAGATGCCCTGTTTTGTCACAAACATGGTGGAGAAGGTTTACCCTTTCAAACAAGACAGAGAATGCTCGGATTAGCCAGATCACTCCAACCCTACAAATACAATTCAGTCGTCGGTTCATGATGCCGTTTGATTTTTCACTTGCTGCATTTTGATTCAGACAATTATAATTTATTCAACCAGTCAGTTACAGTACCCATAATTTATTGTTGTCTGAATGTGTCCATTCATATCAAGCTAGGAGAGAAACAGGATGGGGATACTTTAAAAAAAGAAATGGTTTAAGAAATACATACTCTTACTGGAAATAAAAATAGAGTCATAATAGCTGCATAGATGTTATACAGCACTTTGCCTTTGAAGGGAAAAAGTAAAGTGGTTGTGTGTGCTTGTGTAAGCAGCTCCTTAAAGCTATGTCTTTTTTGCCAGTATCTGTGACAATGCTAGGAAAAGATGTGTTGATTGAAGTGGACGTCAACCGATACTATGTGTTCTCCCATGCACTCTTCCCACTTTGGATCCAATGCTTTGAACAACCCTTGTTTGCAGCAAATGAAACAGAATGTGTCCATGTTGCCCACTGTTTAACAGAAGAGTGGAATGCAAATTCTTGAAATAAATTAAGTAAAACAGCAGATTGTGAGAATCAAAAATGGGGCTGCATAAAATGTCGACAGAGGTCTCTCTGAAGATACAGGTAGTGTCAATTTACATTTAATAACTGCTCAAAAGGTTACAACGAAGTTTAAGAAAGCGACTTATGACCTGTCTTCTAAGTTATGACTGCTGCCCCTCCATGATCACATTTCTGACAAGATGCAGCGTTCCAGTCATGAATGCAATTTATGACATTTTTGTGGGTTCCAGCAAAAAACCCTATTTAGGAGAATGGATTCATTTAAACCCAATTCACTTTATGACTGTGGCAACTCGTTTTATGACCATTGTAAAAATGGACATAAAATTGAGTCCAGCTGTGGTGCCTTGACTCATGACAATGATTGACACGCAAAATTCTAGGCTTCACTGTGGGGTCCTGAGCCAAGGACTACCTGCATGGGTGGATTGCTACATAGGCCTTGGGATTCAAGGTTCCTTTTCGGGCCATAATGTACATTTGGAAGGAGGGGAGAGATGGGGTTGCACAGCCGCTTCATGTACTTTCTATGCATGCTGCTTATAGTTCTTGTGACTGGGCAGCCTTAGAAACCAAATGAATGAATGGAATGTTTTGTTTTCTTTAAAAAAGACAATGGCACTGTTATAAGCAATATGCCACAGATGCCTAAAGAAGTTAAGACACAATCCTAAAAAATCAGGGGTGTAAAAAAAAAAAAAAGTAAATTGCCAACATAGCCATATGACATGAATGGCACCAGAAAATAATACTTTATCTTATTTGCTCTGCTTACTAGCAGTCGGGCAAGAAAAGGAAATAGGTTTTGAATAACAAAACCTATGCTAAATCCCTTCACTTCAGTTCACCTCTGTTCATCTTTATCATGTGGAACCTGTTTCTCTTCTTCCATAAGCCAGAGGCCTGCATGACTTTTCTATTAAAAGGGAATACTCCAAAAAGTTAAGAGCCCTTTTCGATGGACAGGTGCCAAAAGTAGGACTGAGAGTGTAGAGTCTTCACTAGAAGCATTACATTTATCAAATCGGGGTACCTTCCCCAGGCCTTCGCTTCCCATGACTTCCATGAACAGAAGAGGCGGCTATGCATCGCCCTCTCCCCCATGTCAGCCTGAAGGGAGCAGTTTTCCACTGACACAGAAAGAAGATGGTCACACAGGGAAAACATGGGATTCAATGGGAAGATTATGCTTTGGAGGAAACATAACAGTTAACAGTCCTGGAATAGTTCAAGAGTCAAGTCCCTCAACAGCCAGGCACCCCCTTGTAAGAGTTTGAGATGGCTTTCTTTCAAAAAAACCTATGCTGAACAGGAAGAGAGACCCTTCCTTACCTACAAGAAGGAATGTGTAACTGAAAGAAAGCTTTAACCCAAAATTTGAAAATGTATTTGGGTACCTGTATTAAGAGAAAGTTAAAGAAAACTATGTACCAGTTTAAAGAAAAACTCTGTGTTAAAAGGGATGTTTATAAAAGAAAAGAAAACATTACTCTATGAGGACAGTTTGGAGGGAGGGATATAAACATAAAACTGAAGTTTAAAGCTTGTATGTTAAAAAGTTAAAGAAAAAGATGTATTAGAAAGTTTTGATTTCTAAAAGTGGTTTTTAAAAAAAGTTTAGTACTTTGAAGAAAAACAGTGTGGAAAAAAAGATATTTTTTCCAGTAAGGTCGAAGAATTTGAAAGAATACAATGAATTTTGTAAATAAAAATGATGAGTTTACAAAGGTTACTAAGTGATCTAGGTGAAACAGAAATACACATTATTTCCATACCAAGGAAGATAAAGCAGGAATAGTTAAATTTTATTCAAAGAGGAAAATATATTTTTATTTGGATATCACTTCTGGAATTTGTGCTTGTGAAGAAAAAAAATGAAACGTTGGTTTTGTTGATTAGAAAGATTTGGTTGTAGCTATATATTCATGTGTAAAAGCAAAAAGTTGAGGTTGGAGTATGTTTATCTTGTGCTAAGAGGAGTTGGAAGTCAATGCCCCCTTTCTTCCTTTTTCTCTTTTCCCGCTCCCTTTCTTTCCCTTAATTTCCTATTTTTTTCTTCTCCTCTTAAAAAAGAAAAGAGTGAAAGGAAGAATTGCTGAATGCCATCGTGAGCATCTTGCTAGGATAGGATTACTGCCATATATACGTTGCTTTCTTCTACTGAAGTCTACATTGTACTCTTACACCCTGGTTTTTATCATCAGTGGCTCAGTGAATACAGCAACACTCACCTTGAGTGCCCTCTGAGTAGGAAGCTCTAAGTTGGATCAATAGCAACAAGAGACAGTGTGGAGCCTATTATAAGCACACCCAGCAGATACTGATGACACTGTCCTCCACAAAAGGAATGGTGGTGTAGCCATTTATTATTTGTTCACTAAGATTACAAAGATTAAAAAATAAATCTGAACGTTTAAGGTGTTGTGTCTTTTTACAGCTGGCCAATTCCAAAAAAACGTACTTCTGGTTTCAAACAGGGAAGAAAGCTGATTTTGACATTTGGAAGAAAAACAATCTCAAAGAGAACTGGTTTTTTTTTTTTAAAGTTACAACCTGAACACAAAAGAATATGAAGCAAGCTTTACCTATTTAAACTTGTACCTCATGCCTAAAATCAAAATGCCACAAAATTTCTTAGGTTCCAACAATTCCTTCATAACTAAGAAAATGACAAAGCATTTCATGTCATGCACAGTGATAGAAGTCATCCACCCGTGACACTCACAACTTTGATCCAAAGTTTCTATTGCACTCCAGAAAATTACATTTTATGTTAAGATTGACAGTCATGTGCTAGTTCCAAGGTAAGAAAGGCCATTTTATGGCTGGGAAATGTCCCATTATTGATCTTCTGACTTTCATGTGTAAGGTTACACATTAACCACATATAAAAACTGGCCGCTGGGTTTCCAAAGATACCAATGTACTTCCCCTACTTACGTCATTTAAAAGACACCCAGCACTGAGGTGATTTTCCTGACTTGATTCAGAGCCAGAATGAGGTTGCACGCTAAGCTGCTGGATGATGGAAGAGGGTCAGTTTGACTGCTTCTCTGTAATTCTAAGTATCTGAATATTGAGATCCAAACAGCTGATAAGAAACTGCCCAATTTTGGGGGGTGGGAGACATTTCTATCAGCAGGAAGTATTTTATACAGAAATGCTTTGGCTTGCCTCAACAGACAAAAGCCTGACTGACTGTACCATCTGTGACCACCTGCAGAGGTTAAGGGGGGAAAAAAGTGCAGAAAGACTTTTCCAGGTGGACAGGGGACACAGGTTGAATGTCCTATCATTTGATGAAGGCTAAAGGCAACTTGGCTTCTCACCTAGGGTGATATTAAGCCCGCTAAATGAAAGTGAAAACTAAAATCAAAGTAATCCTCAAACAGGCCTTAGGTTTAGCTTTCTCGTGCCACACAGAACATCAGCTTAAAGAATATGAAGGCCACAGGACAAATTCAAGCTAGCAACAGTGTGAAATACCTGCTTCACATTACCGGACTGCCTTAAAGAAACACCAGTGCTGAGTTCAGATGGGGGAGGGGGGATATATATGCACCATACCAACTCTTGAACTGCCATCTTCTGCCACCTCTCTATAAATGGTGCCATCAATCTATTCCTATTTTTGTGCCCTTCACATGGAGGGCAACACTCTGGCTAGGGGTGGAATGGGCAGCTCCTTTCTTGGATTGAACAGCGGGTGGATGTCTCCTGTCAGAACGGTAGACTTTGATTCTAAATAGATCCTATTGCCATTGGGTAATCTGTGCAATTTGCAATGGATTACAATGGCCCCAACCTGGTTGTTCTTCCGAGGTCAATCATGGGAATGAGGCAGTAAGGATTGGAAAGATCTTAATTCATGGAGAATGCTTGGCAGAGAAGGGTGGGTTGACAAACACTGAAGTCAACATTTCTTCAAACACCTATCTGCAGTCTAACACCAGAAAAGGAGCAACTGATCTAAGTGATCAACCCAGAACTTGGGTCGTGTTAAGCCAAGCATTAAAACTCCAATATTTCAAACATTGACACTTAAGATAGGAAGTACAGGATATTCACTTTTCAATATTGCTGTCTACAGACAGGAGATGTTCAACCAGTGCATCAGGCAATACATGCCTCAGTGGAAGAGGGCCCTTTAGGGGCAAGAATCAATCTTTATAAACTCTGCTCCAAGCTCACGATCTTAACTATGATTCTAACATCCAGAATCGAGGAAACAAAGTCAGCCAATTTAACATTCTTTAGGATCAATTTCACACATAGTAATCATTTAGAGGAAAGTCACAGAGCCATTGTCTAGTGATTGGTTCTTAGTCACAATGCAGGAGAAAAACACTCCAACATCAAGTTGCTAAAAGGGGAATTAACAGTCCAGGGCTTTGAAAGAGGAAATGAGGCATGGCAATGGGCAAAGTGCATGTGCACAATTAAAAGCACTTTCGTTGCCCCCCCCCAGCCCCCCAAGTGGGCACAATAACAAAGCCAATAGGCTCTGAGGCAGTACTGACAAAAGGCTGGACATCGTTCATGTTTCTATGTGCTGTTTTCAAAACGAGTCCTCATGCAACACAGGAGCGTGCAGAAAGGTCTGGGTTTAGATCTGCAGAGAAGAAAAACAAACGGAGACGTAAATCGCTTGGCAAGTTCAAACCACAGGTTTTGAAATTGTTCTCCTTGTATTGGAAAACCAATGGGAAGAAAATGGTCCTTCCAAACTGCATATAGGTTAAGAAGGACCATTTTTGCTCTGTTTTTCATTGGTTTTTCATACAGGTAGTCCTCAATTAACAACCAAAAGTTCCAATACATTAAAAAAAGATACTTATGACTTGTCCTCTGCCACAACCCCCCGTGGTCACATTTCATGCACCTGGCTACTGGTTCACATTTATGACCATTTGTGGTGCCCCAGTCATATGCTATGGTTTTTACAGTTTTCCAACAGAAAAAGCCCCAAAATACCCATTGGATAAGCCTGCATTTGCTTAACAACATTGTTTGCTTAATAACCATGTTTACAACTGTCATAAAATTGAGTCCAGTCACGTGATTCCTCGACTTATAACCCCAATGAGTTAAGACCAAAATTCCAGGCTCCATTGTGGTTGTAAGTTGAGGACTACCTGTGCTACATTAATGATGACACAGGAGTGTGACAATCTTGTGTTCCTATCACTGAAAACAGATTTTGGAGGAGTTTGAAAGGTCTCTATTAACTACAACTAGAAAGGAAGAATTCTTTTATTACAGAGAAGAGATTTGAGGTTTGTTTGTTTTTTCAAAAAAGTCCAAGGCAATGCTTTAGGTGTCTTTTTCAAATTTTAAACCCAACTCTTCTGTATGAGCCAATAAACTGAGTTCCAAAGCACATACCTAATGCTTATTTCTTCTGACTATAAATCTAGGCTTGTAGATTCCAACCAGGAATAAAGTACCAAACAATGAAAGCAAAACCCAAGGCAATGTCATCAGCAACATAGATTAGAAAAGTGCATGCATGCTGTAACATATGTCTAATTCATGGGTGTCCAACCCTGGCAGCCTTAAAACTTGTGGACTTCAACTCCCAGAATTCTCCAGCCAGTCATGCTTGGCTGGCTGGGGAATTCTGAGAATTGAAGTCCACAGGTCTTGAACTTACCAAGATTGGACCTCACTGGTCTAAATGGAAGTATAATGATGTACCATACGTATTATTATTGTAAGCAACTGTGAGAAGTGATTGTGGCTTTAAAGTTAAAAAAAAATCAAACCATAAATTCAGCTATTCAGCTGTTCATGGCAGAAGAACTTACCTTTTGATCCAGTCGCTGGTAGTCACTGGATTTGGGCCTTCGGGTTATCTTTGATTTTTTTCCTTCTAGAGCAAAAGCAATAATCTTTGCAAGGGAAGAAAAGAGAATCAATAAGTGTGCCACAGCAAGAATCTGAATCATCACACTACCATTACATCACTACATTAAAGTGAACACATCAGCTTGTCATAACTATTAAACTTGAAAAAAGCACATTATTTTAGCAAAGCCTTAAAAAAAGAGATGGCACAGGTGGTATATTAAAACCTGTAAAATAGCAACAGTTAGGTCTCACCAAAGGGCGGGAAAACAAGTCTCACTTAGAAAGTAAGACATGATTCAAAGTCATAACCCATCAAGTAAGCCAGAGAATATAGAATATTCATAATTGGAATGTTGCTTGTAACAGCTTCTCTACAGCCAATAGACCAATTACATCTTTTCCAAGGTAAGAAAAATGAACAGCCTGCAGCATATATCAGTCCAAGACAAGGAACATATTTTAACATACCTAGCTTTTTAGAAGTTTTACATAGTGTTAGTATGGTTTACTCAGCATGGCTCCCATGCACAAAACCAATATCCCAATATATTTTGAGGGATACGTTTTCTGATTGTTTTATTTTTGAAAATCCAGTAAGAAACAAATCAGGTCCTAGCTAAAATAGCCTCGTTAAAATCAGATCAACTAAAAGACCTTACACTAGTTCTTCTTGCTAAAGATGCCTTGAGGAAACAGCTTTCATTTTTATCATCAGTCTAGCTCAGGGGTTCCCAACCTGGGGTGCTCACACCCCCTGGGGGTGCGAGACAATATTCCAGGGGGTGTGAGAAAAGTCCAGGTAAATAATAGGATATTGGCTATATGTTGGCATTTTTATTTTTTATTTCAGGGGGTGCGAGGTTCGAGTGAAATTTCTTTAGAGGTGTGGGGCGAAAAAAAGGTTGGGAACCACTGGTCTAGCTAGACAGATAGACAATGGATGGATGGGCAGATATAAAGGATAGATGGAGACATACATACATTATATATATATATATATATATACACACACACACACACATACATAGATATAGATAAATAATACTCACTTTCCGTTTATTATGATATGCAATGTATAGTGCAGCAACAATAATAGCTGTGGTCACTAAGTAGGCAAAGAAATGGCTATTTTCAGATCCATTCCTGGGTGTCCCCTCCAAATCTTCCTCATGCTTTGCACTCTTTTTCTTTTCATCAGCCAACCCTTTTCCTTGTTCATCTCCAGGGTCAACTACTTCTTCGTCAGTTTTTTCGGATTCCAAAGGATTTAACTTTTGAGACTGTTGAACAGAGAGATCGGATTGAAGATCCTGGCCTTTTGCTAATGAGTCTTCCACTTGTTTTGAATCATCATTTATCTCTTCAGAAAAATCTGCATCAGAAATGTCCGTCTTAGATTCTTCATTTTCGGCATGAGCAAGATCTAATTTTGAAGAGTCTTGAGCAGAAGCACCAGGCTGAGGGTTTGGGCCTTTAATTGATGAGTCCTCTCCCTGCTTTGATTCCTTTGTTTTTGACTTTGGAACAGAAGACTTAACAGATTTGTCTTCCTGAACGTTAGTGGCTTCAGGAGAATCTATCTTTCCAGAAGCAGGTTCTTGAGCAGATAAAACTGACTGGGGATTCTGGTCTTTTGTTTGCAAGTCTAGTGATTGTTCTGGTTCCTTAATGTTTGAATCTGAATGAGGTATGTCTGTCTTAGATTCTTCTAGGTGATCTTTCTTTTCCTGAGTGTTTCCAGCTTGATCAGGATTTAATTTTGAAGAGTCTTGAGCAGAAACACCAGGCTGAGGGTTTGGGCCTTTAATTGATGAGTCCTCTCCCTGCTTTGATTCCTTCGTTTTTGACTTTGGAAGAGAAGATGTACCAGATGTGTCTGTCTGAGCATCTTCAGATTTATCTACATCTGCCGAACCTTTGCTGGCTTTAGTAGCATCTAGCTTTGCAGTACCAGACTGTTGAGCAGACTGACTTGACTGGGATTTCTGGTCTTTTGCTGATGGGTCCTGTGATTGTTTTGATTCCTTATCAATTGCATTAGTGCCTTCTGGATGATGATCTTTCTGACCCTTCTTAGGCTGAACAAGACCTAATTTTGAAAAAGAGTCTTGAGTAGGAAGACCAGATTGAATGTTCTGGCTCTTAATTGATAGGTCTTCTTCATGTTCTGCTTCCTTAATGTTTGACTTTGGAAGATAAGATGTATGAGATGCGTCTGTCTTATCTCCTTGAGAGAGAATCTCAAGCTTTGCCTGAGCTTTTCTGGATTCAGAAAAAGGCTGGGAACCTTTTTGATTAATTGATGGATCCTCTTCCTTAGCTCGATCAGAACCTTGCTGGGGTACTTCTGACTGGCTATTCTGTAAGATATTTTGTACAACTTGAAGTGATTTATTGTCTACAGAGCTTATGCCTGTGCCTGAAGCACCTTGAGTCAAGTCCGTTAACTGTGGGTTGTCACTGGAGAACTCTACAATGTGGAAAAGTTAAAGTTAAAAGTATTCTGTATGCTACAATAATACGGTGTAGTGGTATACAAATGCAAATGATAAAATCTTGCTGAACATATTCACCCTTTTATAAGTACAACTTATAGTTGTACTTATAGCTTAGAAATAGAGTATTTGTATATCCTGTGCTGTGGCCTTGGACCAGCTTACGTAAACCAGACAGCGGTCTCTCTAGAAAGTAAGAACAGAATAGGAGATTGCAATATAAATACTGCAGTATATTGGATATGCTGACAGTGTCATACTGCAAGGGTGAAATATAATAGGGAGGTTATTTCAATGGGTATCATGGTGCTCCAGAGGAAGAGTTACAGTGTAATTCTATTATTCCTTTTACAGGTAGTCAACTTACAACAGTTCATTTAGTGACCGTTAAAAAAGTGACATCATTTTCACACTTATGACCCCACTGCAGCATCCCCATGGTTACATGATCAAAATTCAGACAGTTGGCAACTGACTCATATTTATGACAGTTGCAGTTATCCACAGGGGTGGGATTCAACCGGTGTTACTACCGATTCAGTGACTACATTTTGCTTTCCTATAAAATATACTGTTGCATCTATCTCCAATGCTTTGGTTTCTAAAGTAAGTGAGCAACTTTCTCACAGCTGCCCAAAACATTTTCATACTGAATTTTCACTAATAGTGCAATGTGAGTTGTATACATTCATGCCACATTTAATCTTATCCCACCTTTATAATTTTTTTAAACTCAAGGCAGGGACCATATTTCATATTCCTTCCTCCTCCCATTTTTCCCCACAACAATCCTGTGAGGTGAGTTGGGCTGACATCACGGCAAGATCTTATTATTTCGAGTAGCTGTGGCCATTTCTAATCTGTTTTTTATTATACATTTGCATGCCTGACTTAATAAGGCAAGAAACTAAGCTATTATACAGCGTGTTGTATTTTGACTTAATGTTGTGAGTGAACCCTGGCAATTTTGGCACACGGTGGGACAACTCCCAGAATGCTCAGCCTACATTGGACAGAGGATTCCCAAGTTTGCTTATGTGCCTTTGAATCAGCGTCGATTCCCAACGACTAAATGGACAACTTTCTTCCTTGGCAATGTTTCAGAGGTGTTGCCACCACCTCTTCCTTGGGGCTCAGAGAAATGATTGGCCAAGATCACCCAGCTGGCTTCAAGATTAAGCCAAACTAGAACTCCCAGTCTTTAGTTTGATGCCCTAATCACAATGAAGAGCACCAGACAGGAAAGGTTGAGCCAGATGAAATACGTATTACCAGGCATTACACTGTCCATCAAGAAGTGGCAGGTTTCATCCTTTACAAAGGCTGTTTAGGCACTGGATGCCAGATCGATGGGGGTCGTCACTCTAAATCCATCACTCCTTCAAAGGACTATATACGATGAGTAAGCTTGAGGAGCATTCCGGGGCAGCCATTCAGGGGTCACAGAGAGGGATATCCAGAAGTGCCAGAATGGTCCCTATCAGGCTTTCTCAACTTAAAGGTGGACTTCAGTTCCCAGAACTCCTCAGCTTTAGGGACTATCCAGGCTGCGGCATCAAAGGCCGCAAAAGGTATCCAGAACCTGTCTTACTTGCTGGGGAATTGTGAGAGTTGTGCAGTCCACACAATCTTAAAGCACAACGCCTGTGGGGAACGCTGGGACTTGTATGCACACATCTCAAAGTGGCTGAAAACCTTGGTCTGTATAGTCCTTAAGAGAAGGTGGGCTGTACAGACCACCCTGACGGCTTCAATCACCAAGAGCAAGCCTAGAAGTCTTTGGGGCGAGCAGGGGGCGACTTCCCTTCCGTTACCCCTCCATCCTCCTACCCGCCATAGCGAAGCGATGGGCCCAGGGCCTGCGGGCAGGACGGGGTGGGGGAAGCAAAGGCGTTTGTTCTCCTTCTCCCCCCCAAGACCCCCCACTGACCTTGAGCTTTCTTCCCCTCGCTCTTTCCCGTCTCTATCGGCGCCGCACTCCCCCAGGCAGCCAGCGAACACAGGAGGAGACACCAGTACCAACACGCCGCCATGCCGGCTCCAGAGCACCTCCTACTTCCGCCCAGTTGCGAGAGGAAATGGAAAGCCCCTTTCCACGGCTCTCGGAGCGCCCATTTCCGGCTGGGGGTTCCTCCCCCGACGCTGTTCTCGCGAGAGCTGGAGTGAACTTCTCGCGAAGGCGAGAAGAAGGGCGGAATTCTACTGAAGGGCGTGGCTTATGATTCCAGAGAGGAGGGGATGGGGGTTGCTGCTGGAAGGCAGGAGCCTGCTTTAATGTTATTTGTGTGAATATGCACCACCAGCTTTAGGCCGCTTCGTATGTTTTCCTCTTCTTCTAATTGAGATTTGATGTGGACCATTCCAACTTGGCGTTTTTCAGACGTCAGGATCTGAAATCCCAGAATTCTCCATACTGCCTGGGGAATTCTGGGGATTGAAGTCCACACATCTGAAAACAAGTCAATTTTGCGAAACACTGATGTCGATTAGCCCTCACAACTCCATGTCTGTATTGCAAACCGGACAAACTGGAAAGGTTGAAGGTAGTAGTGTGTTGCTGCATTGCAGACTGAAAGATCTGGAGATGATTGATGGATTGATGGGCAGATTCCACCTCCATCCTTGTTTGCTGCTCTCTGCCTCTCTCTTTTTCAGTAATTATGAACCCCCTAGAATAGCCCTATGGTGAGACAGGAGCAAATACATTTAAGAAAAAATAATAAAAGATTGAAAGTAAACTAGGGAAAACATAGGTTATGCCAGAAAAGTGCTGAAGCAGAACAGATAGAGGCCGAGTTTGCACATTTAGTTAACTATAATGGAGTTTGTTCTGTTTTAATTTAGGTTGTGGGAACTCAAGTGTTCATGAAACAAAGCATGGTTGAATCCAGTGCCTGAACTCAGCTTTGGCATTAGATGTGTCAACAAACCTTTGGCCAATCCCTTTCTCAGTCCTAGGGAGGAGGCAATAGCAACCCTACTTTCAAAATCTTGCCAAAAGAACTAATGAGGACTTTGTCCAAGCAATCACTAGAAGCCAACACTAACTTGAACGTGCCCCACAAAACTTCAGCGGACAAAATTCCCTGTCTTAAAGAATGGTGATACAGCACCATCTTGTGGTCTATATCTTTTGTTCTCAGCTATTATGAAATACATTTGCAAAGGGGATACTGGTATATTCTATATAATCACAGGCTACTTGACAGCACATTGCAAGTTCTTATTAATAGGGTTCTCTAACTCGGGTTTCCAGCCAAAGCTGGCTGGGGAATTCTGGGAGTTGAAGTCCTCCAGGCTTAAAGTTGCCAAGGTTGGAAACCCTTGCTCTAAAGTATTCAAAAGATAAAGTCAAGCTATTGTATTCTCAGCACAATCCTCAGAAGACTAAATGGGACTGGGTCTGTTTTTTTTACTACACTTGTGTCACATAATGGATTTCACAATAGCAGGTCATAAAGAATTGGTAGCATCTTTGAAAGATAAAACCAAATACAATACAGTTTTTCCAGCCTTCCATGATGTAATGAGTTGCATTTGTTTTAATCTTCCAACATTTTAAGTTTATTTGTTTAAGGAATTATAGAATCTTAAAACAATTGGGTCATTCTGGTGATTATAGGTGGAGTTTTTGTTATTGACTAGATGATAGTCATTTTAGGTGGATGACTGCAGAAAATTCTGCAATTTAACACAAAACAAACATTTTCTCAATGAATCATTGTAAGGCTGTCATTGTAACATTGGTTTAACTCAGTATTTTTAGACTTTAGAAAACCACTGGAAGCTTTTCTCATATTTAGGAACTCTCTCGTGGATTTAAAAGAAAGGAGGGAAAGATTATCATTGTATCTACTTTTAAAGCTTAGAACAGTAGATATTTCACTCATGACTTCAAGGCAGGAAGCTGTGGTTTTATGAATTTGTACCGCCTTTCTACAAATGCTCTGAAATTCCAGGGATTGTTAGGCCAGTTTCAGGAAAGCTGCAATTTGGATAATTAGAAACTTTTGTAGTTGTTTCCTTTTTCCTTTTCTGCACAGGACAGTAGGCTGAATGGGAATAATCCAACAGCACAAAGTCAGCTGGCCTTATCTTTGAGTTGGTATACTTTTTAAGGTTTTCCAGAAGTGCTGTCAAAATGCTGTTTCTGAAGACAATACCTTTCTTTAAAATCAGAAGATTTCTTATGTATATATATAAAAGGAAGTTGTTTTTCATCTGGACTTTAAAAGCAATGAGTTCTCATTTATTTAATGTAGCTGAATATATTCATACAGAAAAAATAGGAGTTCAAATATCCCCTTCTTGCATTAACTGCTGAATAAGCTTCATAAGCAAGAGTATTGGGTTAGTAGAGGTGAATCATTACTGTAGGAAAGGAATTGCCTGGTCAGATTTGTTTATTATTTATGGTTTTTATATCCTACTGAATTCTCCAGAGACTTCTGTAATTTACAGATGCGGCGCTGTTGAGCTTAAATATGTTCCACTTCTGTGCATGATGGCACCACTGGAATCATTTTTGATTAGGCAGCCTTAAAAATTGAATGAATTATCAATAATTAATATTAGGATGTAATTTAGGGCAGCAAGCCACTGACTTACTTAAAAATGGTTTAAAACAATGGCTTAACACGGTGTTCTCCAACCTTGGGAACGTTAATGAATGTGGACTTCAACTCTCATAATTGCCCCTCCCCAGGATTGGGTGAGGAATTCTGGGACTTGAAGTTCACACTTTTTTTTTTAATGAGTTTTAACAAAACAAATAAAACATCTTATTTGAGTACAGCATGGTTCCGGGTTATCCCATTTCCATACAGACACAATTTCATATGCATATTCATTTTAGGTATTCAACTCCATATCTTATTACTCTTTTTCCAACTTCTCACTATTTCTCCCTTTACTTAATTTTCTTTTATGGTTATCTCATTTTCTTCTTATTCAATTGTATTTCTTTTACCTAAATTTCTATATCTTTTTATTCATTGTACTTATACTTTCGTCTGTCTTGTTTACAATTTCATATGTTCTCTTCCAACATTCTTAAGAAGAAAAATTCTCCCTATGATTGCCAGTCGAAGTGCAACATCTTTAAATCTTGTTATCATATGAAATCTCATTAAACATTAAATTTGTGCATTCTAAAATTGTAACATTCAAATTTCTAATATCTATTTTATATCATGTAAATCTCATCATTCAGACTCTGCTTGGTACTTCCCCTTGAAAATGTAAAAAGAAAAATTCTAAAAACACAGCAAAAACAATATATATATATAAACATTAGTAAACAAAATAGTTATTCAAAATCATTCTAGTACTGGTATGAACCTTGTAAATCTTTCATGTTTCTTTTCAATATGTATCTATCTTTGAGAACAATTGAAATGTTTCCCTCCCTTCTTCATTATTACTTAACTGTTAATAAGCATACCACTGAATAGTCACACAGTTTTATCTTATAGATTATTTACTATTAATAAGCAAAAAAAATATTCAAATTCATTCTAATAACTGGTATAAATTTCCTTATAAATCTTTCACATTTCTTTTCAATATTTTATCAATCTTTAGAAACAATTGCAATGTTTCCCTCTCTTCTTTATTATTGCATTAATTATAAATAAACATACCATTACATAACAATAGTTTTATCTCATAGATTATTTACTTATTTCATTTCTAACTCATTACAATATTCTACTGTCACAACACTTTCTTTTGTACCTTTGCAGAATCCTCACTTTTAACTTAACCATTTTCTCTGTGTTTTCTAGCTGAGCAAATACCTTTAATCCTAGTACGTTTCCCCTTTCTTTATTTCCTGTTTTTGTTCCTCATAAGTTCTTTCCCTTTCTATCTTCCCCCCTTTTTCTCATCCCTTTTTTTATACCCTTCTCTAATTTTCCCTTCTGTAGTTTTCTTTTCTGTTTCTCCTTGCTGTTATACTTCTTTTTCAGACTATTTTTCTTTTTGGCTGTTCCCTTTGATCTCAAACTTTTAACTCCTTTCCCCCTTTTTCCCCTTATTACCACACTTTGCATTATTTGATCATTGAAAATGGCTTCTTCTTCGTCCCGCCCTTCTTCTTGCTCTTGAAGCTTTTCCTTTTCAGGATCTCCATTTCAAAAAATTCAAATACGAAGCCAAAGGATCTTCCTCCCCTTTCTGCATCTTTCTGTTTTTTAAAACTCACCTTCAATTCCTCCAGGAGTGACGGCATTTTAAACACTTTTGAACAACCCCCCCAATTGACTTTAAGTAAAAACAGAAAAAGAAAGAAAAAACCAATGCCAAAAACTTTTTTTTTAAATCACCAAATGATCCCAGACTGTTCCTTCTTGTTTCTTTCCTTTACTTTTCCTTTCCGTGGGTTACTGTATCTTTTAATAAGATTTCAGTTAAAATGTATCCTCGGGAGTCTTTTCAAAGTTTCACTGTTAATCCTCTTTATTTTTCCAGGTGGCACTCCATTTTTCCATTATTCCAAGTTCCACCCTTTTGCCTCCACTCTTCTCCTTTTTAGGGCTTTAAAATGACCAAGAAAAAAATCTTTATTCTCCTTTTGACACTTAGATTTCAGCTTAAGGTTTCCTATTAATGTCAAAATAGATTAATAAAAATTTCTTTCCATACCATTTGTAATTGTCAATATAAAGGTTTAAAAAAGGGGTTTTTAAACTCCTTTTCTCTCTCCGCCACTTAAAGATCTTTCAGAAGTATCCCTCTAGGTACTTTTAGATTTAGGGTACCTTGCTTAAATGTTCTCTGTTGTTTAGCTTGGTCTGTCCTGCTTTCCTCTTTGTCTTCCTCCTGCACAATCTTATCTAGTCGGGTTCTTCTTTGAGGTGGCCATTTCTGACCACCGCTGCAACCGCCTTCGGGGAAGGGAGTTTAAACCAGCCAAGGAGGAGAGATGCGGCTCCCCTCCACTTGGCTAGCAATCTCCTCCCTCTTCTAAGGGGTGACTCGGGGCGCTCCAGTGGCGAGCACAGATCGAAACTGCACACAATCACGGATTTTGGTCTGTCGCTGAAGAGACCCAAACCGGAAGTCCAAGTTCACACT